GATTAGACGGTGGCTTTAGTAATTTAACCTTGTTTCAGCAGTAAGACAATTTCACCATCTACCATCTTTCAACATATTCTTCTGATCATCACCCAATTTTTCTCCTCCCCAACGGACGGCTTGGTGATGATGTTTGGCATTGTAGGAGTCCACGTTGTTTCCAGTTTGAGGAACAATGGACAATTGACGAAGACTGTTAAAGAATAATTCAAGAAGGGTGGCTTTGTCAGGAATCTCCTACGACTAATCTTGCCATCTGTGCTAAGTGCCTATCGAAGTGAAAAAGTCAAAAATTCAGTCATATGAATTCCAAAATTCAGTCTTCGCGTACCTCTTAGCTTCCTTTCAAACTATTGCCCCTTCTAAAGTCATTCTCCAGAGCAAGAAATTGGTTGCAAATGAGCTCGACAAGTTATTGGAACTCAATGAATTATATTAGAGCCAATGTTACGTTCTTGTGTCAATTGGATGCAAGCTGGTGACTGTAGCACTTCCTATTTTCATAAGATTGCCAATCACAAAGCTAACATTAATTCTATGGCACAGATTTTTTATGCTAATAATGTATTACAGATTTTTGAGCCAAAACCCTGCAACACTAAAATGGTATAGAAGTAGTAAATCCAACTTTTACAAGGTGGTTAAGCTGGCTTTGGTGCTTTTTATCAGTTTCAGCAACCTTGTTATTTATAGTAAGTTAGATGAACTGTTTAGGAGGCTCATGTGCTTGCACTTAATTATTAATTGAGGGATCGATGTCAACTTCATTAAGATTGAAAAGGATCTTAGTACGAAGAGGCAACATCCCACCGGCTTTGCAGTTCAAATGGTATTTATTTTCATTCACTGACTTTCCACTTCCCTAACTTCTACCAGCATTTTGCTTTCCTGCTTGTTCAAGTTTGTCAAATGGCATTAATGTTGAGTAAGACTAACTGAGCCTTTTGAGTATCAAAGGATATGCTACTAACTATGAAGTCACATTTTAGCATTTGGGTCATGTCATGTTGGGGGAATAATATTTAGTGATCCTTTAGATAGTAATGACATGTTTACTAACTTGTAATCA